TATCTAACATGGTGGTGTATTTTTCAGGTCCAATAGAGGCGTGGCGGGTGATGATGGGACTGAAGTCAGGCTTGCTAGCGGAGAGTACCTGGGCTCTAGATACACTTAACATCCTTCTGTACGATGATGCCACCGTGCAGTACTTTAACCTCGCTCATCTACCAGGCATGCTGGAAATTCTCTTAGAACACTTTAGGAAATCTCTGATCTCAATCTTTGGTGATATGTTTGAAGAAATGGAGAAAATGTCGGATGAAGCTGATGAAATTCCCAACAAAAGCATGCTCAATGTCGACATGGAGGAAAAAGTGACGATAAAGGACGAGGAGTTTACAAATTATACGTTCGTTTCTAGGAAAGGACTGGAAGTGAAAATGGAGGACACAAACAGCAAAGACATAAGTCCGCTAGACAATAAAGAGTGGGACATTTACTCGGGTTACAGTTATAAGTATGGGCATTGGCAGTTAGGAGGAGGGGATCTTAGTTCACATATTGTGCCATGTTTCGGAAATTCATACGAGAGTGAAATTTTCAGGAAGATGTTTTTCAGACCACCAATAAAAGTGAAGGAAGAATTAAAGATAAAAGAAGAGGAGAAAAATTCTGTGGACAATGAAAAACCAGAAGACTCACAATGTGAGGAAAATGAGAAAGAACTCGTTGATATAAAGAAAGAATCAGCAGACTCTATAAAAGTTGAAGAAGAAGAACCGGTTAAGAACCATGTGTTGAAAAAAGTGAAAATTAAAGAGGAACCAGCTGAAGAAGAAAAACAGGATATCAAAGAGGAAAAAGACATTAATGAGGAGGAAAACAAAGAAAATAATGGTTGTGATGAAAAAATGGATGATTCCATAGAGGAAAAGGCTGATGTCAGCTTGGAAAGTGTGAAAACAGAACCCAGTTCTGATGAAAGTATGATCAAAGAAGAGAGTGACACTGATAAAAGTAATGTGGAGAATCCCAGTACAAAACGTAAACGGGAGTCGGAGCAGGAAGACGAGGCTTACCAGAAAGACGAGCCTCCACTCCGACTTATCTCGGACATGCAGGAGGAACTGGGAAGGAGATGTGTGTGTATATCCAACATCTTCAGGAGTCTGTCTTCAATTCCATCAAACCATTTAGAACTGTCCAAACATCCGGGACTGATGTATACGTTAGGAAAACTACTTATGTTGAATCACCGACACCTACCTCGAAACACTACTCGTAAGAAGTTTGATCGTGACGATAGCGAGATGGAAGACATTTCTGATAGTCATCTTCATCAGAATGATGAGGAATGGTGGTGGGAATACTTCTCCATGCTGCGGGAAAACACACTTGTGATATTTGCAAATATTTGTGGACATTTGGAACTAAAGTACTATCCAGAAGAAATCTGTATGCCCATTTTGGATGGCTTATTACACTGGGCCGTTTGTCCGTCGTCGTGTGCCACAGATCCTATGCCATCTACTAGCACATCCGTCCTCTCTCCCCAGCGGTTAGTTATGGAGGCACTCAGCAAGTTGTGCATTCATGAAACAAATGTGGACCTTCTCTTGGCAACCCCTCCATTTGATCGCATTGTACAGTTATTTAGTATTCTGACCAAATTGTTAGCAAACAAGAGTGAACCCGTGACTTTAGAGTTTGCTCTCGTTCTCTTGTCTTCTCTTGTACAAGGGGACTCCAGCTCTGCCCGGGCAGTAGCAATGCAGCATCCCTCCATCTCCTTACTTATAGACTTTCTAGAAACGGCGGAACACAAAGCAATGACTGTGGCCAACCACCATGGCATCAATGCATTGAGGGACAACCCCGAGATCATGGGAACCAGTTTGGACATGCTCCGTCGAGCTGCCAACATTCTTCTTCATCTGGCCTCGATTCCAGAAAACCGCCCCTTGTTCACCCAACATCAGCAAAGACTACTCTCCCTTGTCATGTCTCAGATCCTTGATCAATTCGTGGCACAAATTTTGTCGGATGTTCTCTTTCAGTGCTTTCAAGGTGAATTACCTAGTAGCTAGTACATGTTTGTTATCCAAAATTGAGTATGAATTTACACAATAGGAGAAATTGTAAACGGTGATGTTTTTGTTTTGTCATGTATACTCATTGTAAATTCATCATTGACCATTTTTCCATTCCTGAAGACTTGATTGTAATATATGTAATATATATATTCATGAATGTACACATGAGGTTTTCAATGAAATTCTCTTTTTTCAAAACAAATTGAAGTACTGCCCAAACATAATTGTTCAAGATTCATCATAATATTGCATTTCTTCATCATTGAAACAATGTGATAAAATTTAGAGATTTTGAATGTTGTTTCTTCATTTTATTTTTGTATTGTTCATTTTAAAGTGCAACTGGAATAGTGAGTGTTAGAAACAAGCCCTTGATTCCACATGTTGTGTATAAGTTTGTTGTGGTGTGGCGAGATCATGTTTCAATTGGTCAACATATTTCTCCCAGAGATTTGCGACAAAAAATTTTTTGTTTATGAATTCATTATTTATATCTGAAGAAACGCATTTCTAAAAGGTACAGTAACTAAGCTGGATTAAATGCGTGTCATTGTAAATATCACGTCGATTGTTTGTAGTTGTAATCATTTGTATCATTTTTGTGCAGAGGCTTTATACTGTACGTCAAAAGATCCAAATAAATGTAAATATTTTAAGTATAGATACATCTTTCTTTTTTTATTCTTGGATGTGAACTTCTTTCCCATGGGGATTCCTGAATCACTAACTGCCCCTATAAATCTCAATCAGGCTCTGGGCCATAGCTGTGAAATGTCAGTTGAAATGAAATACCAGAGGTTAAACTTTAGTATCTATGAGGCTGTATACAGTAAAATCTGTTCAACAAAACTACTGGAGGTAGAATTAAACCTCGAGAGAGATATATGTCTGCATAATAAGAGGGGTGATCAAAAAGTTCGCAAACTATCTCTATATTTTCTAAATCACGATCCAGATCGGAATGAAATTTGACACACCTATAGTCTTGCACATGTTCTATAAATTGCATAAGAAAAGTAATGGTTTTCTCCGTCATTGTGACATCACATTGTGAAGATGATGTAAATGTGTAGGTGGCTCGTGACAAAAAATGGTTGTCACAGTCTTACTCGAGCAACGAACGGCTGTAAAGTTTAACATATAACTTGGGAAATCCTCTGAAGTATTTTATAATAATTTGTACAAGGTTTATGAAGACGATAGACTTTCCAGACATTCAGTCATAAATTGGATTGACTGTTGAAGTTAAGGGAGGGAGATGCTTAAAAATGACTTTTTTGTTGCCCAGCGAAGGCAAGCTGGAGAAGAGATGTGTCCTTTGTTGGGCAATTTGTTTTGAAAGATCGCGAAGTTACAGCAAGAAAAATAGTTGTATGTCTTAACAATGATATTATTATTAAATCCCTAAAACAGCATTTACTTTAGACTTTAAACATACTAAATATGATAAAAAGAAGGCCCCCACACTATATATCCATATAGGATAAACGACGTTCATAAGACAGAGGACTCGGGTTGTAATGGTCACCATGCTCTTTCTGGGAAAGAATATCCTTATCCGACCATCCTATTTCTGAGAGATGGCCAATTCTGACAAATGGACTGTTCTTGTTATAAAAAAATTACTTGCGTGGTTCGAAATACATATTAGACTCGGGGAATATATTTTAGCATCTAAGAACAGAATGCTTCACAGCATGTCACGTGACCGCCTGGATCACGTGATTCACGCATGGGCAGAATGGTGGCAGATGTGCATTAAAGTCAGAAAGTGCTACTTTAAAAAATAATTAACACTGAAACCTAATTTTATTTGTTTTATGAAATTTGTTAGCAAACTTTTTGATCACCCCTCGAATTGTAACAAAACAGCAGAAGATGTTATGCAGAATAGGAACACATAGAAATACTCTAGTTGCAGCTCTTGTTTATGCATTTGTTTAAACTGAATGGTCACTAGCATTCAGGCTGCACTGAAAAAGTCCTGTGAGCATTTGGAATACTGTAATCAAATTTTTTTCATGAGAATGCATTTTCTTTGGTGAAATGAAAAAATACTGGTTCATGTGTATCTGATTTCATGGACGATAAGGGCTATGTTGATAAATGTACTAGCATGTTTGGAGGACATACATTGTAAATTTGTTTCTTCATACCACAACCCATACCATACATTCTAGCCTGGAGGACATTAAATAGCAATTTGAAATACTGGTAGAATGTGTTAAGCCTTGCTAAAATAAAAAGAAGAGTCCATTTTTCAAAGGCAAAATTTGTTTAATTGTAAAAAATTCCCTGAGTTTCATGTATAAACCAAAGTCACAGAAATACTCCATGTATCTGCAAATTGGTAAATGTGAATGCATTCATTTACCGTACATGCATGTGTATACAATAACAAGTTATATTTGTTTGTTTTTTTAAATTCAAAATATTATTAAAAATAAATATACTCTTCCTTACATAAATATTGCACAATTTGAGAGGGTTAAAGTAGAATAAAACTGATTTGACACTTAAAAAAAAAAAACTCAAGCATGATTATATCAACTTAAAACACTCCAGATAATAAAAAGAATATTTAGATGAAGATATATGCCTGATAATTTTAACAAAGTTCCAAAAACTCAATTTACTTTTGTATTTTACAATGTACAAATGTCATGACGTACAGATCCTAAATAGAAAGTGCAATTTACATTGTATCAATAAATAAATTTAAAAAAAAAAAAAAAATCAACATCATAAAACAATCACTTGAATACATAATGAATCATATACAAATTATATAAATTCAGAATTATAAAAAAGATGTACATTCAACCCTTGTATCTTGAACTGAGGAAAATTGCTTCAAAATATCCATAGTAAAGTGCAATTGTAAATATGATTTGGGGGTTAAAAAACCAGCATAGGCATTACTGACTGAAATGAACAGACTTTCGTTTTTGATAAAAATTACTTATTAAAATATTTCTGCTTCATGACCACATTGTTACACAGTTTACATACAGTAAACATTAAGACACTCCTTCTGTATTTTGTCTGGTTTCTTCCCTGTTGTTTTGGTTTCCTCAGTGTAGAAGTGGTCTATTAGGGGTATTAGGATGATCAGTAACCCTGCCAAAATGATGAAGGAGCCGCCAATGTAGAACGCCACGTCTGGACTCCCCGTTACTTCATACACCCAACCTACAGGCAAACCAGAAGACATTATTATGTCAATCCATTTAATCCTCTAGACTTCATAACCCTCAAAGATTTATTATTGTAACACTGAGATATTTTTAACATCTACAATCTACACTTGCTTAGAAAAATTTCTATAACTTGATGGTTTTTCATTTTTACACCAGGATAATTTTGGGTATGTAAAGGTGTTACCTATCAGTGGAGGTGCAGCTATGCTCCCAATGCCGTTAGCCAGCATGATGTAGCCCATCCCTGTCCCGATGGCATCCGCTCCAACAATGGCAGCCACAGCAACCACTAATAGCCCTGATATCATATTGGCCATCACGGAAAATGTCACATACAAGAAAACTAGCCCTCCAAAGGAATGGAACACTGGCACGGGCATAATGAGGCAAATTATACCCGTTATCACAGTTATGACAATGTATGCAAGGTCCAGTCGTAAATTCTTGATGTTTCCTAGAAGTCCTCCAAGAATGCTGCCAACAAATGCTCCTATGCCTCCAATGCTGAACACCAATGCTGAGGATTGCTCATCCAGTCCAACATACAGCAGATACTGAGGGCCGAATAATAAGATAATCACAATTCCCATGTTCCAGAAGATGTTATTGGCAAAGAAGATTATAAAGGCATAGTCACACAGAATAGAACAGGTGCTCTTCTTGCCAAGGGCTAACTTTTCGACTTCATTTAGACTGTTTCTTGGTAAGTCATTGTTCTTGTAAAGAGCATCCTCCTCATTTTCAGAGCTCTCTTGCTTGATAAGCTTAGCTGGACTGCCTACAGGAGATGTCATAATAGCCTCTTCAGTTTCTTGCTTTATTTGTGAATTTTGCATGTCTGAGCCCTGCCTCGAGTTTTCCAGATTTGGGTCATGCTGTTGGGTTTCCAAATTTGAGTCTTCTGAGTTTTCCAAGGTTGAGTCCAGATTTTTGGTTTTCAAGTTTGCATCCCCCTTTGAGTTTTCCAAATTTGTGTCTTCCTTTGTACTATCGAAATTTGATTCCTGTTTTAAGCTCTGCTGATCTGAGCCCTGCTTTAGCTTCTCATGTAAAGACAAATCTATGTCATTTTCAGATAAAGGAGCCCTTGAATCTTCTGAAAGTAACTGTTCATTATCCCCCTTTTCTTTCTCAGCGAGAGATTTTACTGAAAGTAGTTGCAGAGTAGAGGTAGGAGTTTGTTGTTTAGATTTCACAGCATCAGTTACTGTGTCTTCTTTATCACCTGGGTCAGTCTCCCTTCTCTCTGCTGCTTCTTTGTATCTCCTCTTTAACTTTTCAGGAACTGGTCTCAGTAAACTGGCAAAAACAATGTTTTGCATGCTGATCCCACAGACTATATAGAAGGACCCCCTCCAACCAAAGGTGTCGACCAGAAAGTTTACAAGCAGAGGGAAAATGATGGCACCCATACCAGAACCACTGGTGGCAAGTCCTGTAGCCAGACTTCTCTTCTCATCGTAGTATAATCCAGAAAGTACATGGGAGGGGACATAGACCAAACAAAAACCAAGCCCTGAAAAAAATATGCTCAAGATCAATATATAGTATATACGGTACATGTAGTAAAAAGTATACTCATTTATTTTTAAAAAACTTTACCAGAAAGCACTCCATAGAATCCATACATGTAAACCAGGTTTGGGGCAAAAGGCATTGCTATGAGTCCAGCAGAACTGAGAACAGCTCCCAGTAGTGCTACCTTACGATGACTCATGTGGTTCATCAGAAATGTAGCAATAGGACCTGAAATATATATAAAGGTGTTATACAGGATTCTACTTACTCTTCTGTACGTATACTCCTTCTTCGATTTCCTTAGGGAGTTGAACTCATTGTTGAGTGTTGATAAAACTACATGTTACAATAAAATTAATACTGTAACAGTTGAATATCAATGTGTCAAAGAGTCTGATTTATATTGATGGATGTGTCACAGAGAGATGCAAGTCTCCTAATTTCTTTTTCTTCAAATATTTTAACATCATTATCTAGTAAGAAGAAGGGTATACATGTGCATACTCCATGAGGGGGATAAGTAAATAAACTCAACAGAATTAATGTTTTAGGGGAGCTGAGGTAGCTCTATACTCACCTGAGCCCAGGAACACGCCCACGTTGATTGAACCAATCAGAGCCACAGCAGCGGGACTGACATCCTTAAAGTACCTTAGTAGGTACATGTTGTAGATCCCGAAACTCTGTGCGGTCCCAAAGGAAGGGATCTGTATCATAAAGGCAGCGAAAATCACTACCACACCCCAGAATCCACCCTCTTTCTTCTCCAGCCATGAATACAGCCCCATAGTGTGTCTGAAGGATAAAAATATCATATCAATATTAATACCTTGGATTATTTAGGGGTGTATATTTTAACGTACTTAATAGAATGCCGAATAATAGATGTATGATTTTTGATTTATTCATTTTTAAAATATCCCTCAGGTAAATAATATTTAACATTTATAAAAACAGCATTTTTTTATTTTACAATTTTTCGGGACAATAAAAAATAAAACGTAGTGTATGAACTTTTAAATTCAGGTGCTTTAATTTTGGACATACCTGTACTACTGATAATTGGAGTTGTCTCCCACAAAATCACAACAAAACTGAACCTTCTCCCACCATGCTCTACATGTTATCCAAGATTACATTCTGTAAATAATGTAAATTAATTTTAGAATCTTTTCAGCTGAAATGAAGCATACAGAAAGATTTCACTCAAAATGCAATACATATACATGCAGTTACCCAGCTCACATGCAGTTAACATGATTATGTATATAAATATGTATATAGCCTATATAGGTTTCATTAATATGCATCCATGCAACCTTTCATTTCTAAATTGAAAATTTTGCCAATTCCTACAACAAAATATAAAAACATCTTACCTTAAAATACAAAATTAATACAAAAAAATATAAAATTAAGTTTGAAAGGTCTAAATTTATGGATGAATTAAATTTTAACATTAAAAATCTCAATGTTGATGAAGTTTCTGAAAGCAGGTCAAGATGAATAACTGTACACTAAATGCTGCTCCTGTGTGTCAGGAGAAATGACAATAAATCATACAAGCTAGTGGTTTATAAAGGTCAGATGTCATTGACCACTACAGCTCAATCCAAAAGTCTTCACACAGTAGGCTCAGGATGTGCTGTACATGAATATATCTAAAGATTAATTCATTAATAATCAGGCATAATTAATACATTTTTTGTCTGCCAGTGACCTTGAGCTTGCCTATAAATGCATGACTTTGTTTCAGTCATTCCTCAGGCTCTTTTATTAGCTTCCAATTTATATGCTCCCGTTATCAAAGATGCGGGGATATTAAGTATTTGCCATGTCCATCCATCCATCTATCTGTCTACAAAATCTTAATTAACCTTGCCCATAAGATTTGAGTGGGGTGGGGCTATGGCTTTCATATTTTTACAGATGTACCGTATTATCCCTATTAACCGCCCTTGCCCTTATAAGCACTCCCTAGGTCTTTTTTCAATTGTCAGGATGTTCGAAGTCTAAAAATAGTACAGAATCCTTTTAACAAACTTTTATCATAACATTTTTGTTCCTAGGAATTTTCCGAAAGGGCCCCCTGTACAGTGATTAAAATCATCTAGAATTGTATCAAAAGTCTGCCAAAATTTGAAGAAAGTGAAAATGAAACTTGCATGTCTATTATCCAATTTCTCGGTTGAAAATATTAATCATTTAGCATAATTTGGGTGGATTATCCTCACTTAAACAGTAAAGTCTGACATTGTTTTAGTGGGTCTTTGATATTATTTTTTCAAAAGATTTTTGGAAGTTAAAAATGACATTAAATATTAGAAAGAGAATATCAAAATATCCGCCCCTTTTTGCAATTTTCTAAGCGCCCAGGGCGGTTAATAGGGATTATATGGTATTCCTTTGGGTACCACCAAATTTGACCTCTTGACCTATGAGTTTGATCCAGTTTTTCACAAAAAATTCCATATTTTAACCTTGGTCTATCATGCTAGGGCTTTCATTCTATAAAAGCAGAAAATTTTGTTGGGGATTAAATTATCTTTATTTTGTTGATTACAATTATCAACGAAATTAAATCCGACACAAAATTTTCATATGACTACATATTGAAAAGTGTAATCTTCGAATCATCGAAATTTAATGCTCACAAAACTGTTTTAGCTAATAAATCAATGAAATTTTATCCCCATGAAAATTTGCGTTTCTACAGTACGGTACTTCACATGTTTATTCATTGTATCAAGGCCTTTCATACGGTATAAATATTTTTGACCTTAGTTTGTCCCACTTTCATAAAACTTTAGCCAGGATAGGAATCATATGAATCTTCAACTTGTAAAAATGATCTTGGGTCAAGGTCACATTCACCATTATGATATCATTTTTATTTGAAGTATGAACTCTAGAGTTATGAAATTAATTTAGAAAGTTGTTGGGCATATTGAATTACATAGATTGTAAAATGTACACTTTTTCTTCTTGTGACTTTCAATTCAAATGGCCTTGGTGCAGTGACACATCCTCACGGCAAAGGTCAATCTTTGATTTCCTATCGTTTCCAATCAACCAGCTAGATGTCTCCATCAAGGCTCAACAAAATTTGTTATGAGCAATTTTTTTTTTTACTTTTGCAAAAAAAGACTTAAAACATGTAATTTATTCTGTCTTCAAAAACTATAACATTGTTTGATGTACAAAAAGCAATACATTACAAATTCTGAACACATTGTATCTATAAAGTTTAGAATACCCTTTGTCTATATATCCCTGAACAAATTCAACTTCAACAATATATAAATAAATATTTGTGCAATTTTTGAACACATATTGAACACATGTCAAATGTCTGGCTGATATCACTTCATGATCACATGTTAAAGTAATTATAACCAATGCAATGCAGAGTAACCCAATGAAAATTTGTTCCTGAATTAAGAAATGATATTTATAAACCTAGAGCAAAAAAGTTTGAAAAACTAGGCAAATAATTGTTTCAGAAATCTGATTCATTGTAGATATACATATACAAAATATTTTCCTTATCTAAATACTAATGTTCTTTTTTTAGGGGGTGTGCGTTAAAGTTGACTAACAAATGCTGTAAACCCCCCCTCCTTTTTTTACATGTAAATACTGTACAATTTTTTTTCTTATTTAATGAGGAAAATACTAAAGGTTTAAAAATATCACTAAAGAGTTTAAACAATACTAGTATAGTGAGTATTCTACAGATGAAAAGAGAAAATTCAAAATGGGATAATTTCCTTACAATAATGGGATGCATACCTGACCAGTAAATTTCCATAAAACACATGAACTTATAATGACAAGACTTCAGAAATGATAAATTATGAAATCCTTCATATAAAATAATCTTGCATTAATGGTAATAAAACTAACACATGTCAAAAGTACATGTTGCATGCATTGTAAAAAAGAAAAGGAGAGAGCAAATGATTTTTGCATAAATAAAATAATAAATTTGATTATTGCCATTTCCTTGAAAACCTAGAACACTTTGATCATCAATCTTGTGACATACTTAAATTGTCCAGTTTTCTGCACATGGGAGATGAGATATTTTGCAGCTGGTCCATTTTTAATTTCTTTGGTGTAACGTGTCCCCTCGGGGGACCCCCACTGAGTCTTTTAGTGGGGCTCGGTGAGGGTGACAGAATGCTGGGCGATGAGGACCCGCCATCAGAATCCTCTAACAAGTCCCCTTCCTGCTCCTCAGTCCCAGACCTGTACAAACTAAAGCTGTTGTGGCTTCCCTCCTCAGAGTCTTTGAACATCCTCTTCTTTGACTTGTGAGGAGGAGAGGACAGCAGACTGGGAGATGATCGGTCGCTGTCAGAGTCCCCATTAGACCCGGTACAAGAATTACCATTCTCCCTCTGGTCTTCCTCAAAACTCCTCTCTGCTACCTCACACAGTCGTGTCAATGCCTCGTCCTCTCCATCATCAAAATCATCTTCCATGTCATCACAATCATCCTCCATGTTAACCTTTACTACAACCTTGCTCTGCAACAGACTCTGCGATTCTTCATCTTCATCAGATTCATCTATTTTCTGAGATATTTTGTTCAATCTTTCCTGCTTTCTTATGACAATAACTCCACTTCTCTTGATCTCCGATTTAAAGGTCTCTTCCTTTTCAGTTTCCTCCTCCTCCTCCTCCTCCTCCTCATCATCATCTGGGCTCTGAGTGGCATCTGATTCACATTCATCGTTCTCTATATCTTCCTCCTCTTTTTCCTCATTTCCTTCATCATTTCTAGCACCAGGCAGGGGACCGCAGTTCTCAAACAAAGCCTCATTTCTAAGCTGTTCCTCAGAGAAAAGCAGCAAGCTTTCATCAACTTCTGACCACTGACTTTCATTAGAACTTTTATTCACATTTGGTGAATCTTGCTTTTGAACAGGACTGACATTACTGAAGTTACCCAATGCCTGTCGGTTAAATGGAGATGAAGTAGCTTGCTGTATTAAAGGCTTGGGGCTCTGAAAATGGAGTCTGGAAGCCATTGGTGATGAAGAATGAGAAGAAAAGTTCTGAGGTCTAGGCTGATAAGCGGTGGAAGCTAGAACACAGGAAGGGTGTGGCTTGGAAGGCCCTGCCCCGGGGCTCTGAGGGTGTGGCTCGTAGGGGGAGGGCTTTATTCTGGTGAACGTCTGGCCCGCTGGTTTGTCCACATGGAAACTGTTTGTCTGAGTAGAAGGAAGAGAGTTATTACAGACAGATTCCTCTGTGTCCTCAGTTAATGTCTGTAAAGACTGGTTCAACTCTTCTCGATTCTGTAAAAAAAAATCATACATTTAATCAAAAGAGCATCCATAAATAGACCATACGTAATAAACACAAAAATATAGTGTTTCACAAATGTTGTAAACAGCTTAATTATAAATGATAGGTCAATTCAGTCTCACATAAACTCTGACCTACAGGTAGAATTTTATTAAGCTGGTTTATAACTTACAGGAAGAATTTTATTGAGCTGGTATAAGACTTACATGTAGAATTTTATTAAGTTGGTATAAGACTTACTAGTAGAATTTTATTAAGTTGGCATTCTAACTTACAGGTAGAATTTTATTGAGCTGGTACTGCAGACTTGTCCACCTCTTGTTAGGGCGATTTGCGATAGCCTTACTCAGGACCATGTCTGATCCTAAGATGTACACCTCTTTTCTCCCCCTTGTAACCGCAGTATATACATGCTGCCAGTTCTGCCAAGATACAGAGCTTCCAAGGTAATACACAACAGTGTTGGTCTCTGACCCCTAGGAAACAGAAAGCAGTATTGTAGTAGGATATCTTAATCTTATTTCAATTTCCATTTAGTTCTCAAAGACTTATTTTAAAACTTTGTCAATCTTTTGAAAAGACTATATTCAAAACATGATAATTTGCATAAACTCTGAAGGCATTTATGCAAAAATTATCACGCTAGCCAATTGATTGATCATTGTCATGAAACCAAAAAATCTGACAGTTATTCCTTGTATATATTGTGTATATAAAACAAGCTTAAATACACCCACCTGTGAGTAGGTTTTCTCACGGGTGGGTGTATTTAAAACAAACTCAAAGAATAAAGTTACAAGAAACATACTCAGTATTTAAAATGGGACAATTTGTTTGCAGATGTGAAAGGGTAGATATAACACAGGGTCAAAATAGCCCTGTATACAGAAGTAAATGACCTTTGGGTTTACTGAAATGAACACATTGACTGATTTGATTTGAACATATTTTATTATGTAACAATTACATAAACGGATTGGGCAGCAGGCATAGCCTATAATAAGCCCTCTCCACATTGACTTTGCCCATGCTTGCATGAATTTACACAACCACCTAGAATATATGGATTGCTATTGCCCATATTTGAATATTTTTACACACTCACAGATAATGCTAGAATTGCATGTATGATTCAATGTATGAATTTTCCTTGCCCATGCATGTATATTTTAAACATTGTCCTTGCTTATGATTGTATAATGTAGCACACCCACCTGAAATGTATGGATTGTCCTAGCCCATGCATGTATGATTTTACACTTGTCCCGGAGTTCTCTGAATTCACACCATAACTCCCTTGGATCTTCTGGGTCTTCATTTGACAGATACAGATAGCGTATACTCTTTCCCCTTTCATCTATGATAGTTTTGTCCTAAAAAATTAATAACAGAAAATAATTTTTAAAAACAAAGAACATTAGGAACAAGATTGCAACAAACAACATATAAAGGTGTTATTACAATGAGATAAAAAATTGACTTTGAACTATGTTTATTATCTTTGATTAACATGTTCATGATTTTTACGAACTGAAGTCAAACTTACATCTTTAATGAAAAAAATCTCGCCATTGCAAAGTCTATTTCTCACTGCTTCTTTCTTTTTGCCTTCTCCCTGGGTTGATCTTAATGTGCCATTAGGTAAAGTTTCATTTCCTCGTTCCACTCCTGAAATTTCGAGATCCTCAGGAAAATTCTCCTCTTCCTCCTTTTTAGCTAATTTTAGTTTCATACCAGCACCATTTTCTTCATAAATAGCAACCTGGCCATTTTTGGTCATGCAGATTTTGTCACCTGTTCGAAATATTAGTTTCTTTTTGTGGTCTCTCTGCGTGTGATGGTTGTAGAATTTACAGCAGACTTCATTTACCTTTTTGATATCATCTCTGAAATTTCAAACAAGACAAAATCACAGGTTGGATTGTTATCTTAAATCATTGAGTATTATACATATAATGTAGTCAGTAGGAGATATGATATGGCTCTTTATGGTAATCTTCTCGACCAATGAAATTTCAAGATTTTAATCAGTGGCAGGATAAGAAGAACTTAGATTATACGAGGGTTGCTCGAAAGGTTCATGGACAAAAGCGATAAAATTAATATTATGAAGTTTATGCTTACAAAATTTTTATGGAACATAAAACAACAAAAGTTAGAAAAACGTTAAAATTTTTTAGCTTGATATCTTAAATATTTACCAAATTATCAAAAAATAATAAGACATTATTTGCTCATCTGGCCTAGTCGCAATTTAGCTGCATGACGTCATTGTTTTTGAATTAACAGCATTTTTGGATGACAATTGCAAATATAAAAAAAAGTTTTTTTCTCAGTTGCACTTAGGTAGAAAAAACGGCCTGGACATACCATTGCTTTCAAAAACATCAACAATATATTAAAAAAGATAATTAATGAACGTAGAGTTTATTATAAAAATAATTTTTTTAAGATGATGCTAATTAAATGTTAAAAAATTCATTGATGTTTAAAGTGGTATTTAACTTTGGTCAGCCATTTTGGCCCCGCCCTACCCCCAGGAGTCATGATTTGAACAAACTTGAATCTACACTACCTGAGCATGCTCCCATATAAATTTGATGAATTATGGCTTTGTCATTCTTGAGAAGATGATTTTTAATTAATTTTCCTATATATTTCTATGTAAAAGGTCAGCCATACTTTTTCCGTAAACTACCTGAGCATGCTTCTATATATATATGATGAATTATGGCTTTGTCATTCTTGAGAAGAAGATTTTTAATTAATTTTCCTATATATTTCTATGTAAAACTCATTTTTTGGACATGATTTGAACAAACTGTATCTTAGTTGTTATCTGGCACAGTGGTTTTTTTTTGCCAACAAATTTTCATTAAAATACTTGAATGAGGGTGTGGTGGAATCCCCTTCACCCAAGGATACTTTGTACCAAGTTTGAAAGAAATTGGTCTAGCGGTTCTTGAGAAGAAGTCGTGAGACAAAATGTGATCAAATCCATGGATCACATTGATGTGTCTTAAGCGGTTTTAATTTTATGGCACTCACAATTTACCAATTTTTAAAATCAAGCCAAATAAACATAAACACAAGTATCTGATGAGATTAGAGGTCTTCTGGTTTGAAGGAATAAAAAAGTAGCACTTGGGCTTGAAACTTTGCACCAATAATAAATAGTATATGATGAGCCTAGGTTTAGTCTCTTTTTATGGCAAGATTTTTTAAAATCAGTCCAAAACTGTAGGAGGAGTAGTGTTTTCAATGTTTTTCACAGAAATTACTAATTTTAGTAACCATGGCAAAATCACTCATCGAAATAATAAAAATACTGAATATGTACTTGTGTCTTACAATGAAATAGTCTACTTGTATGTTAAGCAACATCATTCACCAAAATATTATATTGAAATCAGTAGTATACTTGTGTGCTAAGTTATATTGAAATCAGCCCAAAATTGGAGGAGGAATAGGGTTTTGAAAAATTGTTTACAGATGGAAAGGTAGACATATGGACAACAGACACCTTATCATCGTGTAAGCTTTTCATGTCTCTGACAAGCAGAGACTATTTAAATGTTGACTGCTCTCAAACATTGACTAATAAAAAAAAATTAAAATGTTTCCAATGTGTGTTAAAATACAATCATGTCCTACTTAAAATTGCCTGAATCAATTTCTGAACTGCACAAGAACTATAACTTTTCATAGAAGAACTTACTTTCTAAATGACACAAACTGTGAAGTTTTATCATTACTCAGTGATTTCTCTTTGTTAAGAATCTCTTGAACCACTGAAAAACAATGATAAATAAATATCACTCAGTCTGGAAAAATGACAAGAGGCCCATGGGCCACATCACTTACCTACACATTGTGGATAGTTAAAAGCAAAATTCAATTCAGTATATGCATAAGGGGGGGGGGGTTAAGATTATAACAAACTTGAATCTGCTTAAACTTGAATTTACACTGACTAAGAATTCTTACATATTTCTTTGACTTACTGTGGCTTAAAAATTTCATTTTCACCCCACCCTACTGGGTTTGTGAATTGAACAAATCTGCATCTGCACTACCTGAGGATGCTTCCATGTATACATGACCAATCATGACTTTGCTATTTTTGAGAAGAAGATTTTAGAAGATTTTTCCTATATGTTCCTATGTAAAACTTTGATTGTCCATTGTGGCCCCATCCAACAACCAGAGGTCATGATTTGAAAAAAAAAATTGAATCTACATCACATGAAGATGCTTTCATAAAATATGACCAACCCTGGCTTTGCTGTTCTTGAGAAGAGAATTTTCCCTATATATTCCTATGTAAAGATTTGATTGTCCATTGTGACCCAAGGATAGTTTGCGGCAAGTTTGGTTAAAATTGGTCCAGTGGTTCTTCAGAAGAAGTTGAAAATATGAAGAGTTACAGACAGATGAACAGACAGACACATGTGATCAGAAAAGCTCACTTGAACCTTTGGCTCAGGAGAGCTAAAATTGCTATGAAGATAAAAGTAAATCATTTAATAGTTGAATAATTTTAGATAGCAATCAATTTATCATGCCCAAAATTGTGGAAAAAGATACACTGTGCATCAACAGAATTTTGAAAGAAACTAGTTTTTTGTTTCAATGGAGAGCTTCCATATGAAAGTTCTTCCCCCAGTTAACTAACCTTCATTAATAAAGTCATTTTTCTGGTCTGCCATCACTTTATAAAGTTTAAAGTTTCTCTCATGGTCAAAGATTGGGCTTCTCTGCTCTGAAATCCTTGTAGCATTATCAATAATCAGCTGAGATTCCGATCTGTGATTGGTCCTTAGCTCTACTGCACACCCTAGATTCTGCAACCCATTGAACATGTCAGAGAGAAAGTTGCCTGGCTCGATAGAGGGCAGTTGTCTCACGTCGCCTAGCAACACGATTCTTCTAAGATTAGCCTCCCTCACTAACATTTTAAATAAACTATGGAAAGTTGTTATGGCAACCAAAGAGCATTCATCCACAACCAGCGTGTTCACATCCTTAAACTTCCACTCTAGTTCCGGCTTCTCCTTTTTGTCCATACAATACCTCATAAAGCTGAACGTCACTTGATGGAGAGTGTAGCCCGTCGCCTCTGCCCGCTTGCCCAGTAAGTTGGCGGCTTTGCCTGTAGGAGCTGTGTACAGTATCTCAGGTACCTCAGGTGATTCTGGACTCTCTGTTGGAACACAATGTCCTTTCTTTTCTTCCTCTTCTTCACCTCCATCCTGTGGTAAGCTTTGAAAATGAAACAAGACACCTTGCAAAATTTATAACAAACATGCCCTTTAACACCTGATAGACAGATAATTTTTCCAATTCCACGGACAATTCAAACAACTTAATTGAAATAATTTTCAAATTGATAACTGAATAATGCCTTCAAACAAAAACATACCTATTTCCCGCCCGACAAGATGACATCACCTTGGTAACCACAGTTGTTTTACCACATCCACCCTTCCCAGAAATCACCACTACAGGAAGCTGGGTCAGTAATTTAGCAGCATTCAGTTGGTCTGGATCACTCTGAATACCAGCAAATTTTTCACTGAAAGTAAATATGATTGTGAAAAGAATCTCCCTTTGAAAAGCTCAGTACATTCATTCTACCACCAGATTGATTCTAAGGTATTTTTCGGCAGTTAGAGTGATCTGCCCTTAGATCTTAATTCTAAACAAGAGGCCCAGGGGCCACATCGCTCACCTGAGCAATTGGCTAGGAAAAAGCACATATCAGATTAGAACTGATAAAGTTTACTGAGTTCTTTTAACCTCCTAAAAACCTCCCAGGGGGTCATGGTTTGAACAAAGTAGAATCTACACTACCTGAGGATGATTCCATATAAATATCACTAAGCATGGATTTGAAGTACTTGAAAAGAGGATTTTAAAAGGTTTCCCTATATATTCCAATGAAAAATTTTGATCGGCCATTTTGGCCCCACCCTAGCCCCGGGGGTCATGATTTGAACAAACTTGAATCTACACTACCTGAGGATGATTCCACATGACATCTTTCCTGGCCCTGTGGTTCTTGAGAAGAAGATTTTTAAAGATTTTTCCTATATATTTCTATGTAAAACTTTGATTGGGCATTTTGGCCCCACCCTAGCCCGGGGGTCATGACTTGAACAAACTTGAATCTACACTACCTGAGGATGATTCCACATGAGTTTCATCTTTCCTGGCCCTGTGGTTCTTGAGAAGAAGATTTTTAAAGATTTTTACTATATATTCCTATGTAAAACTTTGATCGGCCATTTTGGCCCCGCCCTACCCCCGGGGGTCATGACTTGAACAAACTTGAATCTACACTACCTGAGGATGATTCCACATGAGTTTCATCTTTCCTGGCCCAGTGGTTCTTGAGAAGAAGATTTTTTAACAAGAGGCCCAAGGGCCTTGAATCGCTCTTCTGATAAATTGTACAACATATCACTTCTATTTGAAGCCTCTAACCCTAAGTATTCTAAGAGCCAAGTTGCATCAACTGACAAAGTTTGATGATTCTTAGCCAATTATAACTGAAGATATTTTAATAAAGCTATAAAAAAACCATAAGTAGGTCACAATGACCTACTTTAAGATTGAAGTTTTCTGAGGACTCAAGATGCATTAATAGACAAAGATTGAAGATTCTAAGCCAATAAGTATGTGAGATATTCAAAAGTAAGTCACCTTGACCTACTTTTTCATCTACATTCTTGGAAAAACCAAAATGCATCAACTGACAAAGTTTGATTATTCCAAGCCAATAAGTACTGGAGATACTTAATTATAGCCATAAAATGTTAAAAGTAGGTCACTGTGACCTAATTTTTAGTAGACGATTTTCGAAAACCCAAGATACATCAACTGACAAAGTTGATGATTCTAAGCCAATAAGTATCTGAGATATTCAAAAGTAGGTCACCATGACCTACTTTTTGGTTGAAATTCTCTGAAAACCCATGATGCATCAACTGATAAAGTTTGATGATTCTAAGCCAATAAGTACCAAAGATCCTTAAATAAAGCCATAAAATGTCAAAAGTAGGTCACCGTGACCTACCGTCACTCTCCAAAAACCCAAGATGCATCAACACACAAAGTTTGATGATTCTAAGCTTATAAATACCTAAGATACTTAAATAAAGCTGTAAAATGTCAAAAGTAGGTCACCATGACCTACTTTTTGGTTGTCACTCTCCAAAAACCCAAGATGCATCAACTCACAAAGTTTGATGATTCTAAGCTTATTAATACCTAAGATGCTTAAATAAAGCTATAAAATGTCAAAAGTAGGTCACCATGACCTACTTTTTGGTCGTCACTCTCCAAACACCCAAGATGCATCAACTCACAAAGTTTGATGATTCTAAGCTTATAAATACCAAAGATACTTAAATAAAGCATAAAATGTCAAAAGTAGGTCACCGTGACCTACATTTTAGTCAACATTTTTCAAAGTCCCAAGATGCATCTGCTGACCAAGTTTGATGATCGTAGGTCTGAAGGTAATCAAAACATGCCTTTTAAACAATATGAAAACATATGCCTGCAAAATTCAAAAAGTAGTCACAGTGACCTACTTTTTCATAAATATGTTTTAAGGTCCCAAGATGCAGCAATTTACAAGATTTGATGATTCTAACCCTCTCAGTGTCTGCAATAATGGGATTAAATGTTTTAAAAAGGATAAGTCATAAAGTTCAAAAAGTAGGTCAAGGTCACCTACTTTTAAGTTGACGTTGTTCAAGGACCCAAGATGCATCAACTAACAAAGTTTGATGATCATAGGCCTTAAAGTGTCCAAAATATGCCTTCAAATCAATTTGAAAACAAATGCCCGCAAAATTAAAAAAGTAGGTCAGTGACCTACTTTTAATTTAACATGATGTGAAGTCTTAAGATGCATCAACTTACAAGATTTGATGATCCTAGTCCTTATAGCAAGCAAAATATAAACGTTTTTATCAATTGTAAATTTAGGTCAACTTTGAAGTGACCTTAAATCACATGCCCTTTGCCCCAGGGTCATGCCTTGAACAATTTTTAATCTTCAACATATTCTGATCCCTGTGTGTAAGTTTGGTGAAAATCTGCCTGGTGGTTCTGGAGAAGAAGATTTTTTAGCAACCAGTACTTTTGGTTTTGTTTTCCTGATTATCTCCCCTTGTTTAAGGGTCCTAACCCTTATTTTAGTATAAATGGTAGCCCTTGGGCCAAGGATACCCTGTGACAAATTTGACACTGATTGGCCAAGGCGTTCTTGAGTTATGGCCCATTTTCTAAAAAGTTAACGCCCACCGCACGACGCACACTGCACAAATTGCCATAGCATTAGCTCTTTGAGCCTTTGGCTCAGAAGAGCTAAAAATGCCATTAATTTTTCTCTAATTCATAATTATCTCCCCTTGGAAAAGGGCGTCGCCCTTCATTTGAACAAACTTGAATCCCCTTTATCCAAGTTTATTTTGTAGCAAGTTTGGTTGAAATTGGCCCAGTGGTTCTTGAGAAGAAGATGAAAATGTGAAAAGTTTACAACAACAACGACAACGACAGACAACGGACAATTGTGATCAGAAAAGCTCACTTGAGCCTTTGGCTCAGGTGAGCTAAAAATAGAAATTTACAATATATTACTCAATTTGTAATTAATTCAAGTATTCTTAACATTTCAAAAGACCAAGATAAATCAACTGAACGTGTTATTTTCATGTATTTTCTCTACTGAAGTAATTAACAGTGATTTCCATTCACTGATACTGTTTGCCTCTGAACATTTTTCCTGGGGGCACATGCCACACAGCATATAGTGAAAATTAAATAAATAAGCTCATTATTAACTCCTTTATACAAGATAATTTTTTCAATGTCCAAAAAAATTTATGCACTTGTGTAGAGAGGGTCCTTAAGTCCTAAAAACATTCATATCATGCTTACAATGAGAAGGTTTTCTCCAGAAACATATCATTATTTGTAGTAGAGGTACTCTCTTCACCTCAACTATTCTCTACGTGCATGCTAGGTACACAAGACTGGGATTTTTGACATTCATGCACTTATAATTAAAAACCATTTATAAATAACTTTTGCTGCATCCGTGGTCTGAGTGAGTATATATAGAACTAACCTCTCCAGATCCATACTGATCATTATGAGGGGTCTGTTGACATGTTATGACCAGGATTGGCTATTTATAGAACTAACCTCTCCAGATCCATACTGACCAATAGGACAGATCTCTTGGCCTGTTACGACATGGATTGGCTATTTATAGAACTAACCTCTCCAGATACATACTGACCAATAGTAGGGGTCTGTTGACCTGTTATGACATGGTCTGGCTATTTATAGAACTAACCTCTCCAGATCCATACTGATTATTAGGAGGGGTCTGTTGACCTGTTATGACACGGAGTGACTATTTATAGAACTAACCTCTCCAGATCAACATCTAGGATCCACTGGTCCTCCATCTGTTCCTGGAAGAGCCGCGTCACCCCGCGGGCGATGAACTCCTCGGCTTTATACAGACTGTACAGGAATATCCAGGTCACCCTGCTTATTGTCTCCTCCTTCACCACCTTGTTCCTCTTCAGAAAACTAATGGCCCCCTTGTAGTCAGACACGTATTTATACATCGACTCCTGGATGTCCTTACTTTTGAGCCCTGTGTGGCCGTCTTTTGTTTGGACTTTGAGGAAATCGTAGATCAGTAATGCGTCTCTGTAGGGTTGTTGTATGTGTTGTGCCAGACCTGCTTTTTCATAATAATTCCACTGAGCTTCACATCCAATAATGTGGTGGTCCTTACTTAAAACCTATTAAAAAAATCAAAATACTTTCAATTTATTGTTAAGTATAGAATAAGGAAATTTCACCACTGAAACTGTTTGTAATTTTTTTTTTAACAAGAGGAAAGCATTTTCTCTAACGTGTGGTATCTAAATAGCAAACAATTCTTTGACAAAATTTTCTTTAGAGATTTTAATCAACTTTAAAAACCTGTGCTATAGAACTGAGCACTCACCTGTTTAAAGCCAAACACCCAGGGTCTCTCTTTTAAATCTTTCTCCATGGCTGCCACATCCTTCTTGTCCATATAGACGATATCTAGGAACTGCATCGGCAGAAGCTGAGGCAGCAGACTAAACATCAGAGGATATTCTAAAGCTTTGTATACCAGCTGGGCCCCTGTAACACAGTCAGAAATTTAAATTTTCCAAAACTAAATCACATGACTATTTCACTATAAAATTCGACTACCTATTCTCTTATTAGGTATTTATTTGCAATTTGTATTTTGTGGGAATAATGAAAAATTCATATACTATGTTGTCAGTTTCTAGATTTTAAAACAGAAATGGACATATACTACAGGTAGGTTGTGGATATGCAATTCACTCCACTGTTTTGTAACAGAAGTTTTCTCAACCAATCCCCTAGTGTTTTAATTACATAGCTCTTCACCAAGGATAAAATTACCTGGACTGTCCAGGGCGCTCCTTAACTTTATGACCTTTATTTTCTCATCCTCAGGGAGGTAGTTCTCAAACTTGTCCAAAAGTTCATTGACATCCTCAAAGTTCAGCTTGTGTCGTTCCCCTAACGTTTTACTACAACCGAAAAATAAGACTAACGCTGAACAGCCAAACAGAAATATTTCTTACATATTAAGGATGTTTCTTGTAATATTGAAATTCAAAATTGCCAATTTTATTACGTGTTCACCCTTTTGTATTATTCCTAAGTCAATTTTTTTTAGTATTTTTTTTCTTTGTTTTCATTTTGATATACAATTGATTTTTCAATTCTTTTTGAAATAGAACAAAAAGTTTTTAATAATCATGGTAATAAAATTAATAATTTCACATTGATCTTTACCAAACAAACTTGTCAAAGTCTACAACATGTGGGTGGGGGTCTGTGCTGTGATTAGGAGTTCCGCGCTGTTGCTGGCCGTCTCTCCCATCCACATCTTCCTCTTCTATATTGGCCCGAGATGTATACTTGTTGAGGAACTGGAATAAGACTCCATTCTCCAGCACCCACTCCTTCTCTAGAAGCTGGTAAGACAGAGCACACGAGTCAACCTGATGTGATAAGCCGTCAAACTTTCTATCCGTCCTAAGAATTTGGATCCGCCACCAGGGATCAGTGAGGTGGAATCCAGCATTAACGTCCACTCTGCATCTTCTTCTCTGGTCAACCAATGTCCCTACAAAAATAGTTTATAAAATACAGAGAGTCTGATGCAGAATAAATATTTTAGTAATATTCTACTTTTAAAATGGATATTTTTAAATCTTGGCAATAATCAGCAGAAATTGTACAGTTCTAATCTAAACAAAAATTAATAATGCTTTTCTAAATTTAACATTAAACATCTAACGTGATATCTAAGAAAATTTACCATGGATTTATTCAGTTTAACACACTTATAATGGCCTGTCTCTTACAGTGAAGTGATTTTCATTCCTTGTGAGTGTGGTTTTTTTCAAGATATATTGTAAACTTCACCTGTGTATACATTAATCTCAAATACACATCTTTTCGTTTATTCCTCTTGAGAATTGTTTTCCCTCTCGACCTCCGCTAAACCGTAAACATGGACTTGATTTCTTACTTTTGATTCCTTTCTGCTTTGTCCTCTTGAGGAAGGTTTTTCCTCCATTAAATGTGGACTTGATTTCTTACCTTTGATTTCTTTCTGCCTTGTCCTCTTGAGGAAGGTTTTTCCTCCATTAAATGTGGACTTGATTTCTTACCTTTGATTTCTTTCTGCCTTGTCCTCTTGAGGAAGGTTTTTCCTCCATTAAATGTGGACTTGATTTCATACCTTTGATTTCTTTCTGTCTTGTCCTCTTGAGGAAGGTTTTTCCTCCATTAAATGTGGACTTGATTTCTTACCTTTGATTTCTTTCTGCCTTGTCCTCCTGAGGAAGGTTTTTCCTCCACTAAACGTGGACTTGATTTCTTACCCGTGATTCCTTTCTGCCTTGTCCTCTTGAGAAAGGTTTTTCCTCCACTAAACGTGGACTTGGTTTCCTACCTTTGATTCCTTTCTGCTTTGTCCTCTTGAAGAAGGTCTTTCCTCCACTAAACATGGACTTGATTTCTTACCTTTGACTCCTTCCTGCCTTGTCCTCTTGAGGAAGGTTTTTTTCTCCACTAAACGTGGACTTGATTTCCTACCTTTGATTCCTTTCTGCTTTGTCCTCTTGAAGAAGGTCTTTCCTCCACCAAATGAGGACTTGATTTCCTTAAAACTGAGGAATTGTACATCTTCCTCCTCTTCCTCACTGTCTTCATCATCTGAGTCGTAGTGGTCAAACGGTCGGAACACTCCACCTACAGGGTTCTGGGTATGAACTCTTTTTCTTATATTCCATGCTCTTATGTACCTCTTCAGTTCATTTGATAACATTTGTATCAATATATTGTTCAATCTAAAAGTTTAAAAGTGCAAAAACATAATTTATTTCCATTTTAATTCGGGGGAGGGGGGGGATTTCATATAAAAATGTATACAGTATACATGTAAAGGCACTTGGGGTTCAAAATTTTGCTTGCTTAACCTTATCCACTAATCACCTGCACAAGATAATTATTAATTATGTCTCCCAGTTGATATGATACACTAGTTAATAGTGCTGGGTATCGCGACTGAAAAATCGTATCGCGATATATTGCAATATCATATTTTGTATTGCAATATATCAGGATATAAAATATTTAATAATTTTTGCTTTTCGTCAAGGTTAAATGAAAACACAAACTCAAATTACATGTATTCTCGAGTTGATATTGCTATTGCCTGATCGGGTTATGTCGGCGCACGTGGCAATTAAGCTAAGTTTTTTGTGGCCCAACTTGTTGAAATTAATCAAGTTGTAATATTCAGATTCAGCTTTAACGTGAAGGAGTTTCATGTAACAGTTGTCACCGTTTCGTTTTTGAAAGAGATGTGTCTCTGTTTTCTGATCACACTTCACGTCGCTTGCCGCCATATTTTACATTGAAAAGGGGCAAATAACTCTTTATGTAACAATGTATAGCATATTGAACCCGAACCGGTATTCACCAAAAAATACCGCGATATGTATTGTGAAGAACAAAATCGGGATACACCGGTTAACCGGTAATATCGCACAGCACTACTAGTTAAGAACATGTTCTAAGTATGTTCAATTTCTAGCTGTGGCAGAATTTCTATTGTTGGAAGCATTCACAGCTGTTAGTCAAAGTGACTGTTAAAATCTTTGATTTTTGGAGACTCTATCATTTGCAGTGATGACTTAGATTTTTTCCCTGAAATAATTACGGATACCCGCATGGCCGCATAGTACGTCAACCAAACACAGGTAATGTCAATATCCTAGGTGGAAAGTGTATAGGATCCTTATGACTTTAGAGTGTTGATTTCTTTTTATCAAATTCTTAAATTAAAAGCCCATGCACGTTATTCAATACATTGACAGGTATAAAATAATAAAATGAAGCCATTGAAGGTATATTTGATCTGGAAGTAGTTTTGGGGAACGTACGTAACTGCCGTGTACACTTTCAATAAAAAAAATGGACCTAAGGAAAATCAGATATTTTAGGTTTTTTTCATTTTCTTTAAGTTTAATACTAGTTTAAACTCCAAATTCTTAAAAATAATTGCCGAAACAGTTGCATCATTGTGTTCACTAGTCATAACAATTGAAAATGACATCATCGATACAAAGTTCGAAACGTGCTGGTCTCGAGAAGTTTGAGGACAAATTTAGGGTACATGATGATAATTGAACAGTAACGTTCAACAACCCCTAGATAGAACGTTCTTTTGTTAAAATGATATTGTCCTACGGACCTGGTTTAATGATAGAATTCGTTAAGTGTATTCGTAATGTAGCAAAAGAAACACAGACGATAACTCGTACTCAGTGCATTTACTCAGACAATCTAGAGAGTTCTGAATGTAAACATGGCAGATAAATTTGAAGCGAGATAAAAACGTTGAGATTTTCATCTTTATATGTATTATCATACATGTTAACCTACTGTGATGAAAAATAGGGAGATTCAGACCCTAAAAGCGGTAGCATTGCGTGCGCGTTGTTTTACGCTTGGATTATCGATATATTTCATGTAATATACGGTACATTTAAAAGAAACCTGCAATAATTAATCTTAAATATCAACTGCACTTTAAAGAAGAAGACAGAAACACTTTAAGTTTGACATAAATTGTAAAAATTCAAATATTTTTCATGCTCATCATTTTCCTTGGATTGGCTGTTTAACTTAGCCTTTTGAAGAGTTATCTTTGCTGATATAGCCTAGAAGCAATAATTCTGAATGCATGTTCACCCAGTTCTTAAACAAAACAAATCATGATATGGTTTAAACTAGATCTAAAACAAATTAAGTTCCTATCTTTCGTTATATAAATCAGATTTCCCACGATGATCTAAAACGAAAGTGAGATGTGCCACATGGCTTTGTCAATCGAGTGATTTCCATTGACTTTATTGAAATCATTTTGAGCTCCTGTGCTTTTATAGACGATGTCAAACGTTTTCATCTAATTCTTAAAAGCTGTATCTCCTTCTTCATGGCATTGATGTTGACTAAATTTAACGTAACCAATGTAATCACTGGTAATCTTGTGCTGTTGTCGTTGTCAAATTCGTGCTTGAAATCTATGTACACATCAATACTAAAAAAGGGTTTGTATGCTTCTGAGTCAAATCACGCGATATCTAACGAGATTTTATTAGAGTGGCCTCAAAAATGGATACCCAAGCGAACCAAAAATACTTTAGATGCAACTTTTGAAGAAAAGCGGTAGATTTCTGAATGAAATCGGTAGGCGGGAGATGGAGTGAAAAAGCGGTAGACTCCCGCCTAAATCGGTAGAGTTAACATGTATGGTATTATTCAGGTCCAGTACAATCACTAGATTTAGCTACGTAGGTAGAATTACCTACGTAGCTTTATTTACCTACCTCAGGTAGCTTTATTTAGGTATTTCAAGGTAAGTTTTCAAAAGTTTTCTTTTTATTAAAAAGAGATAAAAATTCGCAATTAAATGACTATTGATATTTATACTTGGGAGGCTTTAAAAAACAATCCAAAGCAGAGATAGTTTACACATTACTGCGTTTGGACAATTTAGAGCAAAACATGTAATTCCATTGTTTGGTTATCTGACTGTGCGGTGAGGTGCGGTGAGGCATGACTGAGTATGATTACTTCACATTGTGCTGAATAATTACCGACCCATTATCGTGTTAACCGGAACTGGACTCTTTTGTCATTTCATTCAAGGAGTAACTGTTCTAACTGTCATACATAGCCTCAAAACTTTCAGAACTTTGATTACAATTGTGCAGAAAAAGACATTTTTCCAAAGGGATTTTTTCATGAATTGTTTTCAGATGACTTCAAAGTTGAAAATGATCACTGCATCAAAATGATATTTTCTGCACACCCTGAGAAAAATGCTTTTTAATAGAAATAGATAAATTTGGTAGCTAAATAAAGCTCCCTCAGGTAGGTAAATAAAGCTATATAGGTAAATCAAGCTACATAGCTAAATCTATAGCTGCAATAATGTAGCCCTCTCCCTTTTTTTTTTTTTTTTTTTTTTTTTTTTTTGGGAGAGAGCTACAACTCCTTAGGATCTCCATAATGGTGCAGCTGCGGGAGTGATTTGCTAACAAATTATCAGTAAATGGCTATTTTATTAAGATTTCTTACCTTGACTCCAAATAAGTAGTCATCCAAGACATAAACCAATGCAAAAATATACAGAACGATCCCTATATCGCTTATTTTTCGTGTATGTCAACATCACAACTCGAATTTATCCGCCATGTTTACTGACCTTGATAGATTGTATTTTGGGACAGCCAATGAGAATTTAGGTTCTGTAGGAGCGGATCTATTTGGAATTCCCTTATTTTAAACATAAATATCGCTGCTTGCATAAAAATAACACTTAAAATGGTTTTATATACCTATGTTTTTGTGATGAAATTCAGCACATACATTTATAAACACCGATAATTGCTTTATTCAGTTGTTCTAAATTTCAAGCGAAATCATTACGTCACGCGTGAACTGTCATGGCTGCTGAAGTAAACTACCAGGAAACATGCAGTTATTTTACAAGTTTTTCGCATTTAACGGGGTCTACTGTTGACAGTGAATAAAAAATTCGTCTTATTAGAAGTAAGTTGAATGTAAAAATAATTTATTTTGCCTGCAGTCGCTCCTATTAAAAAAAAATATTTGCACCATTACGGAGATGCGATGGAATTGTAGCCCTCTCCAGAAAACATCAGATTAAAAAAAATCGGAGAGGGCTACATTATTGCAGCTACTAAATCTAGTGATTGTACCAGACCTGTTATTTCTGGGATAAAAGACATAAGCAATCTCAAAAACAGTCTATGCGAAAGTCACCGGACCGTCGGTTTTTACCGATAAAATTTAGGTCGGGTCGGTAAAAAAATTCAGTTTACAGGACCAAATGTCCGATGAAAAATAAGGCCAAATAAATCTAAATTAAGAGAAATACATGGTCAAATTCCCCACAAATATCCATTTGCAATTTAGCATAGTACCTGATTAATTTTTATGTATTACAACCCTGTCATGATCGTTTTAATTCTAATTCGAATTTCCTCTGTCAAAGACTAGAGATCTATAGATAGATACGTAGATTTGGTTGGGAAAATAATAATAGCTGTACGTAGGTGGGAAATTATTTTTAAATGATCATTGAACTTGAGTAACCATAATGAATTGTTTAAGGAAAAATAAATATGCATTGAAATTGAATATTAGATTTAAGAAAGTCTTAGATATTGTGTATGTTGTATAAATCAAATATGAAGAAAAAATATATAATAGATATACAAAGGAAAAATATAAATACTTAACTTGTCTATTTAACTCTGAATTTGTTTAAGGTTAAATTTCACAGTGAGAATTAACCCCATGAGGCCATCCCATCCACCCTCTCATTCTCAGTATCATAATGATGTATGGATTTATAGGAAAAAAAGTTGGTCTGGTAAAAAATTGTTTGGTCTGGTAAAAATTTTATTTTTATCAGACATTTTGTCCTGTAAAAATTTTAAACTTTCGCGTAGACTGCAAAAAGGATTAATTTGGTAGTTATTTCCAGTGCAAATCCTGTTATATTGTTTAAAAAGCAAATTGCTACATTGCAAGTATAAGGGACGATTAACTGTTGAACAGTAACGTTCAACAAACCCGAACAATGAACATATGTTTAACTCTTTTAAAGAGCTTATGCTGTAAAAACTTCTCTTACCAAATACTCTCTGATATACTCTGCCTTTTTTGCAGGCAAATTTATAAATTTGTATTAAATTTTCAATGAAATGACAATCAACGATCAAAAATGTTTTCATCTTTCTTTAAATGAATTCCGATCCCGATTTCATTAGATCTCTGCAAGGTTGTTGACCTTGAGCCCGACATATAAGAGATTTTGTTTCTATATTTCATAGGATGTGCCGTGCAAAAGTCGTAAATTCTGTCAACATTATAAATAAATTGAAATTGAAATAATAGAGGGATATAGCTGCAGAACTGTAGCTCTCCGAAAAAATATATTAACAGACTGGAGAAGAGTAATAATGCCCCCCCCCCCCTTCTCAAATATAGAACGCATCATGTCATGTTTGGAGGTACTCACGTGTATCTATTATTTTCAATACTCTGCATAGTCAAGGACGTTTGTACACCTCAATTTTCAAATTTAACAACTAATTCATTGACTGTCATAATCTGATAATTTTTAAAATTATTTTTGGTCTTCATTTAAATCATTCTTTAAAGAGCTATTCTAAAAAAATATATATTAAAATAGCCTAATTATTATAATACATTAATAAATACCTTGCTTCTGAACCTTTCTGTGGTTTTGTGAAGATATAACGGTTAATTTAATCACATACCGGACCACACCGACGTTACGGAATATTACATCAATTAATCCCCTGGGGGTCTTTGTTAATCCTCGGTCACTGAAATGTCACAATATTGTTCTTATGTCAACTGAAACACTTTCCTTTACAAGGAACGGTTTCCATTGAAAGGAACAATTTCAAGGGATTATTTTACAGTAACGACCAATTAAAGGCTAATAAAACACAAATAAAAGAAAATCTGTGTGACTACATAGTTTTCCTTTGACCAAAAAAACGTTAAAACCACTTTCCAATAGGTCGTTGTTCAGTTTACCTTTTTTTTTGACTAATAGGTAAGAATGTCTTTTAAATCTAACTAGTTTCTTTGTTTTATGTCAGCTGTTTTATTTCAATTCCCGTACATGCATGTTAACTCACTCATGCATGGCGAAAGGCGATGTTATCACATTATCAGTGATCAATTTTTGACGGATTGTAATGTGTAAAAAAAAAAAAAATCTGGTCACAACCATGAGCGTCTTAAAACTGCAAGTCTTTTATAATTAAGAAATAAATTTTATAAGTAATACAGCCTTCCATTACATTACTTTAGTTTGTTGTGGGTCCATAAAAGTAAAAATACAGACATCATCAATATCTGATATTCAATTATCACCTTTTCTCCACCATGGGACATGACAGGGGCCCTTTTCTTCTATGTTAATATTTCGTCACAAATGACGGAATTGCATTCAAAGGGCTCACCAAGAATTTGATCCTATTGAATAAAATATCGATTCTTTTCTTCGTTTTAGTGTAGACTTTGTCGAAAGGTAGTTTTAGGGATAAGCAATCAGGCTCCAAGACCATAAACTAAGCAGACTTAATTCAATTTTTTTCCTCAAAGTTATATCAATTTGAAAATTATGTATCCCCTCCTTTCACATACAGCATTATACCATGTTGTAAATTTTTAGTTTACTGGCTAGGGGGATGTAAATTCAAAATTTACATTGTGATGGCTAGCAGTAATGTCCAGCCTCTGCACATAGAGCCACGCCTCTCGACACTTCAGTTTTTTCCCCCATGGACTACAGAACACTATAAACCGGCCCTCTTTTTCGTATCTCCTTCAGTACAAGCGAGAAAAAGTATATAAAGACAAATCAGTGTACAATTTTATTACCTTCAATTGAAGGCAAAATAAGGAAACAGAATTAATAAAAACAACTAAATATGAGCGAAATACATAATTTTGCATGTACTTTCTGCATGAAATATTTGACCAAGAATTATCTATAAAATTATAAACCACTAAAAGGATTTGTTTCTAAAGGAAATAACAACATTCCACTTAATATATGTATACAACAAATAACATAGTATTATAGTGTATTATTTATGAACATCCATAAAGGTAGATGACAATAAGCTAGCTTGAGTACATAATATGTTACATCACAACTTGTTACAAACATTATGAAGACATTCTGGTCAACAAATAAAGCAAACTTTAGTGGTACGTTATCAACTATGCACGCAGGGGCACTCGCACTGACATACCGACAAATTAGGTTAATAAATGTTCAGTCTCCTAAACTTCCACCAGGATTAAACGACTCCCTGCTACCCAGAACACACTACTTCTCGGCTTTAGGGGCCATAACAGCCACTCGTCCCTTGGGGTCCCGGACACACTTGATTTGTTTATAGTCCACGCCCTGGGGCACGGTAAACTCCCGCCTGTAAGACCGAGATATTTTCATCCCATTTTCCTCGCTCTCATGATCCGCAGAGACGGACACTTGGTTTCCACGTCGTTTGACCTTGACCTCTGCGGGGTCAAACATTGACAAGTCCAGTTTGGTTTCAAATGGTTTCTTATTGCTTTCGACTAATTGCATGTCTTTTTCCTTACCGTCTGTTATGGCTGGAACACTTTCTACTTTGAGCTCAACTTCTTCCGTTTCATTGCGTAAGAGCGGTGCCTCTACCACGTACGTGCGGTCATTCATCATCCTGCCTTGAACTTTGGCCTGGTCGACCCCGTCCGGAATTTTGACACACCGTTTGACCTCCCTCATCTCTCCGTTTTCGTCGTCCCCGCGGACGTGGCGAGCGTGAATTTTAACGTTGCCGTCTTCTACGGTCATTTTTACGTCTTCCGGTCTAAAGTTATCCAAGTAGAAAACATGGCTCCATTTAGCCGGTACATCTCTAGCGGCACCAAATAGTTCATCGTTCAGAACGCTAGAAATCAAGCTCCTGAACGGCGTAGCAGGGGCATAGACGGATGGGTAAAATGGGTTGAAGTCGTAGGTAATTGGAATTAGAGCCATTGCGCACTTTTTAGCAATTTCCTAAATTTTCAGTATGCACAGGAGTAGTTACTTTGTCCAGAATATTGATCTGATACAGTGGTCGACGCATTTATATATAACAGAGTGACATAATTCTAGAAAGACCTAGAATTGCCGTGTATATGCGCCTCACAAATTGCCTTGTATGTGCGCCTCACAAATTTGTTTTTATTATATATTACGTAACATGAAAGGTTCGATAAAGTTCTAGAATAGCCTGCTTGATCAAAATATTTTATATACATTTTTTTTTATTTAAATGCAAATCTTCAATGAATTTGCTTCTGAATCATTATTTCTAGAATAATTCATATAAATTTTTATTTAGAAACAGAAAGAAAAATATGTATTGATAATCATGTTGTTTACATACGGTGGTTGATACGGGACATATTTTATAATACTTTTATATTAAATGCTCTGTATATTTTGCACTCGGGAATGCATGCAGCAGAGTATACCTATTTAGTCAATTAAGAATACCCTAGGTATATAAGATGATTTCCACAAACTATATTTAGATTTCAATCGCATATGCATATATAGTAATGTAAATTTAACAATTAATAATGTACTTTCATTTTCGACAATCATCCGTGAAATAAAAAAAAAAAACACAAAAAGGGATATTTTAATGGGTCCTGATGAAAAGGGAGGGGTCCTTTTGATGATATAGTGAAAAAGCATAAATTCTTTGAAAATATTCTGATCTGCTCCTGGTTATAAAGCAAAGAAAGGGTAAGTGTATTGTAGTTATGTTGAGCAAGAGTGCTTCTTCGAGACTTGCGAGTTTCAGGGCCCCTGGGTCGGATGTTCTGGTGTAACTAAGGGTGGGGCTCTATTGTTTATACATGTAAAGTTAAAATATATTAACCATATGAAATAATGTCTGCATTTTAGTATTAAGCAGATATAAACAAAGTGCATAATCATGATGAACAGGGGTATTTCTTAAAGTTTTTTTTAAACAATATGAGGTCCCAGGGCCAGGGGTTCTAGTTTTTCTTGGAATAAGGGGGGGGGGGGGTTTCTATTAATAAAAATTTTATTATTTTATAATGGATCCTCCAAATTGTTATATTATGTACTCAGATGACTGTTAAAGGGGCATGGTCACAGTTTACTTTCAACTGAATTTTTTTAAACCAGTTTCAGTGTTTACAATTCCTATACATAAGTCATCGTCTAATGATAAGCAAGAATTTGAATATCATTTGTTGATTAACAAATGAGATACAAGAACTTAAAGTTCTTCATAATGTAAACAAAGTTCATGCCTTGTTTTTGTTTACATATAGAAAATATCATATTTATAACAAAATGAAAATCAGCAAATCAATAGAAATTGTCGAATCGTATTTAAAACTAACTTTTTATTGAAATTATCTACTTTGAACGAACATATATGAGTATATTAACCTATGTAAACAAAAACATGACACAGACCTTGTTTACAAAAAAAAAGTTTGGAGCTCTAAATCCGTCTTGTATCTCGACAACTGACGTTCAAATTTTTGATCATCATTAGAAAGACCCTAGTTAAATATTTGTAAAAATAGAAAAATAAATTTTAAAATTTGAACTGAAACTGTGTCCATGCCCCTTTAAACAAGCCTGCTGATGTTCTTGCTTCCTCAACTAGTTCGTCAATAATTTACCTTTCGTTAACATATTATCAAGCATAAAATCATTGTCGGTATAATGCTAAAAAAAAAAATAATAAATACGCATCTGCGTGTATATAGCTGTATTTTATTTCTTTAAAATTTAAGTTGCAAGTTCAATAAAATGTCAAAGTGACTTTTATAGGAAGAGTTCAATATTAATATCAGGGACTACTGTTTTTAAATGTGTTTAGTCTATAATTTCAATTTATTTTAACAAATCTTATTTTTTGAATCCTAAAATGCATTTTATAAAGACTATAAGTAAAAAAAAAATGTAAACCCCAATTTTCAATGCCTATATTATGTATATATTTGCCCCCCCCGGTTCCGACGCCTATGTAGTAAATTGTACATTCACAGATCTCTCTCTCTCTCTCTCCTTCTCTCCCTCTCTCTCCCTCTTTCTCTCTCGATAAGATATTCATATGTAGGTATCACCGGGGGAAATAAGTGTAAACTGTCCGAGGACTATGAATCATTAAAAAAACATGCTCCACGGCGCGCCAAATTTTATTTACCACGCTAGCGTACACCTAAACTTACGTAATAAATTAACGTCAATATAAAGAAATATGACGTCATATTTAGACCAGTACAAATTTAAAAATAAAGACCTATACTTGTGTCAAAATATTGATATTACTGTATTTCATTTAAGACACGGTAAAATAAATGGAAAATAAAGAAGATGGGGGAATAAGGCGGGCGAAGTGCCTATAGATCGACAGATAAGAAGTGAAAAATTAAATCTAAATTATATCCAAATTTTATTTGATATTTCATTTAATACTAAAGTATGCTAAATGTAAAATCTCTACAATTTACAAAAATCCCACAAAAACTGAAAATATATACCTCTGGAAAAGCATACACACACACTAAAAAGAACAGAAACGATCAATTTCTCATACTTTAACAATTTTTTTTAATTTGACTGGGTCTTCGCTCCATTTTTTTTAAAAGG